ATTTCTAGGTTAGGCATTTTCTCCAAAGGTTGGGGTTCATGCCCGCCCTTTCCAGCTATTAATCACGTTTTGCTTCCATCCCAACTACCTCCTCTCTTCTTTGCCTTCCTGTGTCCCTTAATCTTCTCCTGTGTAATTCATCATTCATCCTCACTTTCCATAGTAATTTCCTATTTTTAAATGTCTTATTATCTCATATTCCTCATTACCTACTTATCCTTCAAACCCTATGGTTCATTTAACTTTCTCACAGTTTGTGTAGTTATTTGGTTTGCAGCATTCATTTCCATCCCTTCTTACTCACCCATCCATCAGTCATTTCTTTCCCCTCTCCTTCCTGCATTCCAAGTCCCAAGCTCTTTTTTTCTAATGGTGTGGATCATGATTTGAAATGGTGGCAATGAATCTTAATGTCCCCAGACTCTCTTTCTATTTATTAATTTTTAATATCAAATTAGTCCATGGGGGAAATCTAGGTTTATAATTCTCAAGACTTCCCATGGAGTCAAATTCACTAAGTCCCTTTCTTTTTTTTTCTTAATTAGGGCTAATACAAATCTCAAATAAAATATTGCACAGTTAGTTGGTATTTATCTGAGATGTGCTGATCATCCTTTTCCCCTTTGCAACTGAAACCCAGTATCGTGGCCCGAACACCCACTAATGTCTTTTGCATCTATGTCATATAAAACTTTCCTCTTAGAGATTGAAAGTAAACCCCTTAATTCAAATCCTGCTGTCATCAAACTGTCTGTTAATGCCCAGCCTCTCCTCCAAGAAAAACATGATTTTATTTTTTAAACTTTCCGTTTGCATTTTGCTTTGTTTTCGAAACTTCACAGGCTTCAGAACCGCCTTCCCTTTCTTCCTCCTGAAATCTCAGGATAATTAATTTCAGCAAACGTTGGAGACATTCGTTCTTCCCTTTATTTTCCCTACTTTAGGATCCTTCCTCACCTCGTCCTTTTCCAACAGATACCTTCCTATTGCAAGTGTATGACAAGGACCGGTTCCTGTCTTTGCACAGTCCCCCCTTTATGTTCTTCCTCACTTCTCATCTATTGCTGTGTTTTACTCCATACGTGCACCCTGTTCCCATCCATGAGCACAGTCAACGATTTGAGCTGCTGCTAAAGTTCTCCCAGCCTGTCTCCCTGGTCAGAGGGCTGCTCTCTTGTTCCCAGTGCTACTGCTACTGCGAAGTCACTTCAGTCGTGTCCGACTCTGTGCGACCCCATCCCTGGGATTCTCCAGGCAAGAACACTGGAATGGGTTGCCATTTCCTTCTCCAGTGCATGAAAGTGAAAAGTGAAAGTGAAGTCGCTCAGTCATGTCTGACTCTTCGCAACCCCATGGACTGCAGCCCACCAGGCTCCTCCGTCCATGGGATTTTCCAGGGAAGAGTACTGGAGTGGGGTGCCATTGCCTTCTCCGCATAGTGCCCCTCAAATGCCAGCAAGAGAAAGGCACTGGGATCGTCAACTTTATTAAGGAGAACACCAAGGCAATGCGAGTAAACATACTGACCGAGGGACAGTGCGTTACACCATGATTAAAGAAAAAATTGGGCCAATTTCTTAAATCCTAACTACCTCTATATTGTACTTCTCTGGATATCTGTGTTCATTTTTCAGTGGATGCTTATTGGATTTTCAGTTCCATCACAGGTATATGATGGAATAAGGTTGTAACCACTGAAAACTAGCATGCATTTCCATATAATTATGACTTTCATTCTAAGCTAGCCTGGGAAGTCCCTGGCGGTCCAGTGGTTAGGACTCTGCTCTTTCACTGCCGAGGGCCCAGGTTCAGTGCTTGACTGGGGAACTAAGATCCCACAAGCTGCACTGCACAGTCAAAAAAAAAAAACAAAACATTCTAAGCTAGCCAGAGGTATAGATCACTTGTGCATGGGAAATCCTGCTCATTGAATTACTATATTTCTTTGAAGAGAATTCATTTTCTATGAGTTAATCATTCTTCATATGACCCAAACTATCTATTCTTTTCGAAAACATGACCCCTTCCCCGTCACTGTTACATTACAATTTACACACGATTTCTCTTGAGGGTACAATATAATCTAATTTTCTTCATTATTTAATTTGGATCCTGTTAAGTGAGACAGACATTCACTGATAAGAAGGAGCATTTAAATTTTGGCAAATAAGTTCATTTGTATTCTGAAAGTTCTGCACCCCTCATATTTAATAAACTTTCCATTAGAGAGTAAAGAAACACTGCAAAATAGTCAAACAAATTAGCAATGGGGCCACTTAGAGCACATTCAATCCTGATTCAGAGATGTTTCAGTTTATCTGTTTTCTGTCAATCATTAAATGAGAAAGATGAAATATACAATTACGTACAAGGAGACATAACTCCTAACTCTTTCATTCTAGCTGAAGCAAAATAATTTTAATTGCTTGAAAAAATAAGATTTTTGTTTCCTCTCAAGAAAGACAGAGAAAACAAATGTAAATTGCCTTAGAGTCAATGGCTTGGAGCTACAAGTCTTCAGACTAGGCAAATGAGAGGTAGTCCATCATTTGTATTTTTTCTTCACAATGGCCAATATCCAGCTAATTGGAAATATGAGATGTTTGACAAAATATTCCTTTTTCTGCTACAGCTCCTCCAGCATGTAAGAAAAAAAGAGAAAAATTGTCCCCTTTTCATTAGAATGTTTAGAGTCAGACAGGTTTACTGATACCACTCCCACTCAGTGAGATAACACCACACTAAAATATCTGGATATGCTGCCAGTTATTCCAGAGTGGATGTTCCACTGATGTGAGTTATCATGCCCTTTGTTTCTCTCCTAAGTCCTCTTAGTCATCTGATCTTGTGAACCTTACACTCTTTTTAGTATATTTACAAGAGGGAAAGTAAGAACAAGGAGAAGAGATGAAGTATTTATCAATCCATTTAGTAATGCAGTAGAGCTGCAAAAAAAATGAAAGCGATAGAGAAAATTATGCTCTTGGCCACAGAGAGGTATAAGCATTAACTAGAGGTGTCAGTACATTCCTTGACCTCAAATGGGAAGAAAAATAGAGTCAAGAGTAATTAATTCAAGCATTTAAGCCAGACGTTGAAGCCCTTAAAACTATTTCCCAGGATTTAAAAAAAAAAACACAACACTTTATGTCAGCAATTATGAATGTGAAATGCCATTGATTTCTTTTTCTGTGAAATATTTTCTATATTTAGAGACATCTTTCAGAGTTGCTAATGATGGAAGAAACAAAGATGAAGAAAAGTTACTAATATAGGATTCACAATGAGGTAAGAATATATAACAAAATCTTCTGGTCTTATTAGTGTTTTCCCTTTCCTTTTTAAAGAGGCCACCAGTCATAGTGAATATATGAAACACAATATACATGAAAAATGTCTGTCTGTTGAGAGGGTTTTTTTTTTTTTTTTAATTTTAGGAGCTAGTTAAGCGTCTCCCCACCTGAGCAAAGATGTATTAAGAGGATGGGGTAGACAGTAGCCAGGACTGTATAGAGGATTATCTCAGATTTATCCCAGGAAGTAAAAAATCATCTCTTCCTTTTATCTGGACATAGATCTTTTGATGGTAACCCTGGGCCTAGAGAATTACCTGGATGTGTGTCCCCAAACTGCTCGAGCAGAATGGGGACTCGGCCTGTAGCTGTTTACCCACCAGCACACTCCCCTGGGACATCATCAAAAGGCAAGCCAGCAGATGAAAGGAAGGAGGATTTTGTCCCCTCTCCTATGGAAGCTTCTGGAGTGTGGGAAGATGTCAGGTTTACCTTGTATCTCCAAACTGAGCTCATACCCAGTACCAAGCGTGTGGTATATGCTCCATAGAAATGTGATGAAGGAAAGGATAGGGAGGAAGGCATCGAGAGAAGAAAGGATGAAAAGGGGAATAAAGCCTCTATGAGCTCTACAGGATGTGCTTCTAGAACCTTCTCAATTCCAAAGGGGAGAGACAGACTCGCTGTATCTTACAAGGTTGATAAACACCCCTCCAAAAAAATAACAAATGACAAATGCAGAGCTATTTGACCTAACAACTAAGAAACTAGCCAGTTGTCCTGTAGTCTGGGGCTTGGTGCTCACGTGTTTAAAGCTGGAAGGGATCCTGAAGTCATTCAAGACAGCTCCAGGTAGACTGTAATATGTAACTTGACCACAGTTACATAGCTTGTCAGTATTGGAATAAAGACTAAAACCTGGGTCTCAAAGTTTCCAGCCCAGCATGCCTCACACTGCAGGTTCCCTGCGTAGGGCAGAAGCAATAGCTGGTTTTATCCCTTCATATTTCCTGACCCAAGTCACTTAATATCTCCCCTTCCAGAAGTCCTACTAACCTTGACCCTTTCCCTTAATACCGTGGCACTTTAGCTTGCTAGGGAAACAGTTTGCACTGGTTCACAGAGCACTTATAGAGTGCAGACTTAGAACTCCCATAAAAGCTTGGTCACTAGGCATGATTAAGGGAACAGAAAATCCTCTATTAATTGGAACCCTGGACTTGAGAATACATTTGTGCCCATTTGTTTTCTGTAGCCACTGCTGTTCACACATAAGAGAAGCTAGAATGTAAGTTCCATGAGGGTAGGAATCACGCTTCTCTTGGTCCTAAGTCTCCACAGTGTCCAGTAGATACTTAACTATCTTTTAAATTATTGAACATGACCACAAGTTCTATATTTCATTATTCCAAGAACGTTTCTTGATGTCCTCATTTGCAAATAATTGACAATATCACCCTTCAGTGAAATGCTTTTGAAAAATCTCAACTCCACTTGGTCTCTATCTAATTAATTCAACAGAGGATCTGAGCACCCAACCCACAAGAATTCAAGCTCCATTTGATTTGATCTGCTCTGTTAATTAACAACCCTTACTCTGAGTGAATGAAGACACACTAAGGGCTAATATTCTAGAACTGGAAGGGAAACCATCAGTGACTGTGTCTGCATTTCCAAGCCCTAGAGTTCAGAACAGAGATGAGTAGGCTAATACATTGGTGTCTCCTTCAAACCACTACCTGTAGGATCTTTATTAGAGGACAGACTGAGTTTTGTGTGAGGAAGAATTGAGCAGGACCACTGCCCTCCACGGGCAAACAATACAGCTGGGGCACCCAATTTACACATCTCAGTAGGAAAACAGGAGCCCTGCAGTACACCATCCCTCTGGTCCTCTATTCTGATTACTCCTGAGGAACCTAACAAGCCATTTCCTTCAACCCCAAACAGAGCGCTCCCTAAAAGAAGTGCTGGTATGTTTTCCTGGTTATGTAAGCACACTGTTGACATTTCAGTATCCTTATAGTTTAGTCTTCTAAGCAGCCATCCAGCTGCTGTGTCCGTAATCTGACCCTGATGGCAGCCATTACTTAAAATGAAGAAGGCAATCTAGTTAGAAATTGCAGTTGATGTTCCTCCTCTCTCAGTGGGGATAGGTAGCTCATCCATAAGGCCTTCTTGATGGAGGTGTCCGGACGCTCACAAGCAGCGGTGGGAAGCAATGTAAGAAAAGGCCACGCTCCTCCAAAGGAGTAGGTTTCCTGTCTCAGCAGCTGTAAAATTATAAATCAAAGATTAAAAAGTTAAGCCACTGCTCAAGTGAGGATCTCGGTAAATACAAGGCTTAAACAAAACCCGATGACGGATTCATTGGCATCAAAGGGAAGTCTGTGGTTTTTCAGACAATAGGGCAGAGACTACAGGAACACACAAAGTATAGCTAAGGATTCTCTGTGCCTTTGTTTATTTTGCTATACCAAAGAAAGGGGGAAATTATAACTGCTATTAAATACAAGTCAATCTGCATGTAGAAAGAATGTAGAATGAGTGTGTAGGGAGGGACAAACCGGGGGAAAAGGAAAGAGAGCCTGAAGAATCCAAAACCAGCCACTGTTTCTTCACAGTGTTTCACAGGGCTGGCCTGAATGGCATTTTGATTTTGTGACCTGAGTGAGAGCTGAGCAGCGAATAGTATTGGGGGATAAACTTGGATTTAAGATGCCTTGAAAAGTGAGAAGTACAGTGACCCAAGCTTTAGCCAGTTCCTGGGCAACCAAAATGATTGACTGCCAGTGTAATTAACAAAAGAAGAGTGAAAAGAACCTCACCCAGAGGTGGTCCAGATGAGGCATCACTAGTTTAGGGTATCTCTGCCCAAAACATCACAGGAAATGGATTGTTGCACCACTCTCGCAAGGTACTAGGCACAGCTGCCAAATCAATGACTGCGTTTGACTGTCATCCCCTCCCATGCTGTGCCGCTCTGCACACTTGCTCAGGCTCCAGGAACCCAAGCACATGTGCTAGTACCCATCCACTGAAAATTTTTTAATCCCACAAATACTAGTTAAAGAGGAAGTCTTCCAGTGTCTAGATCTGCACATTTCACAGCCAGCAGAGTGTTAACAACTGTTGGCTTTAACATTCCTATGGGATGTTTGCAATTTAAAAATGGACTTACGTACATGAAGCTCTTACTTACTGTAATACGGGAAGAGAGAGGAGGGCATGAGTGAGCAAGGAATGGGGCAGGGCTGGCCATGCTTCTTATCTAATACCACCACTCCACACAAACCCCCAGCCTCCAAAAGTGGGTTTCTTCCACTTTGCCTCCAGTGACACTGAGCAGTTGCTGACTCCAGACAGAGGAAGCAGGTCTGTCCTCAGAGCACATGAAGGAAAGGATCCTTTAGAGCTGACATCCAAGCCCACTGAGAAGCCTCCTGCAGACACCAGTGATCATGGCTGTATTCCAGATGTCTCTCCTGGTCCAAAGCCCTTGTTTTACAAAGAAGCAAACTGAAAGGTAAGTGGTTCATCCCATGTGACACGGGGACCAACGAAACGGTGGGGCCAGCACTCAGCCTAGATCTCCCACATTCTACCCTACCCACCACCCTGCCCTCGTAAATCCCCATGAGCACAACCCATTCTTTCTACTCCAAACACAGATGGGAGGATGAGGTTCTTCAAACTCTAGAGCAGTGTCTGGGTAGTGTGCCAGTACTAATTTCCCCTTCCTGGAAAACTGTCTGGTTCAGTGGGTCTCGGGGAGGCACAAGAATGTTACCAGGTACCCTGGGAGATGCGGATCTGCGAGGTATAGGAACCACCTGTGCATCTGTTGTCATTCCTCTGCCTATCAGCACGATGCAGATAGCCGGAAAGCCCCCCGAGGGGCAGTTCTGGGGACACCCTCTGGAGCCCAGAGATCAAAGGGCTCTTGACCACTGGGGCACAAGTCAGAGCCCTGAAGACAAACACCAGCCTTGAAATCTCTACGAAAGAATGCTCAGAATGTTCCAGAACATTCTCCTCTGAGGCCCTGTCGACCTTAATGGCTTTGTGGCCAGCAGCATCCCAACTATACCCTCAAGGTTCTTGTATAACCAGCCTTCTAAAATGTGCCAAGCCCCCACGTTGTGTATCACTTTGCAGAGGGGCCGAGATGAACAAGGAGAAGGAAGAGCAACAAGTGTATGTAAGAAGAACATCAACTATACAGAGCAGTATCACTGAAGACAGAATCAAATAACGCAGAGCAGTATCATACAAGGATGTTCCATGTAATTCAGTAGAAGCTTGTGGCAGTTCCTAAACCTCCATCCTGGAGATTCTAACTCTGTGAATCTGAGGAAAAGCCCAGAATCTGCATTTCTAACCAACCCCCAGGTAGATCCACAGATGGGCATTTGAGATTCTTATATCATTTTCGAGGGCTGACTGTGAAGAATCCAAAGGAATCTAGCTTGGTTGCTTTTTATTGTCATGGTTTACAATGCCTCAACATTCCTAGCCTACTCAAATTGATGCTTAGATGCATGTTTGTTTGGCTTTGCTCTTCTTAGCTCAGTGCTGGCTTATGCTATCTTCCTCCTTCTCTCCTCCTGTTTAGAGCTTCCTTCTTCCTGGTAGGAATTTGTTTTCTGGTAAGGAGTGCAGCTTGATTCTTTAGGGAAACACATGGGCAAAAGCCATATGTTGCATGATTCTATTTATATGAAATATCTAGAGTAGGCAGATCTATAGAGATAGAAACCAAATTAGTGGTTGCCAAGGGCTGGGGGCAGAGGGTGGGGGAAGTCTGAGGGATGAGAGCTAACAGAAATACAGGGTTTCCTTGGGGGGATGATATAAACATTCTGGAATTAGATAGTTGTGATGATTGCACAACTTTGTGAATATATCAAAAACCAATGGACTGTACACTTTAAGATGGTGATTTTTATGGTATGTGAATTATAACTCAACTATTGAAAGGCTCGTGTAGGGACTTCCTTGACAGTCCAGTGGTTAAGACACTGTGCTTCCACTGCAGGGGGCGCGGTGTAGCCAAAAAAGAAAAAAGAAGAGCTCATGCAGGAGGACGGGCCCCACATATCACACACAGGTGGATCACCTGGATCCCTGGGACCTCACAACTATCAGGTAACATCCCCGGGGAAACAAAGGCAAAATTTTGCCAGGGTAGCTGATGACAATAACAGCACCACTTACTATACACTTACTATGTGGCAGATACCATAATATTAATACATGGCTATCTCAGATTAGCAAAGATGTGAATGCTATTATTACTATACTGTTATTGTCAACATTTCACAGATGAATAAATGGAGGGACAGTGGGATTAAATAACTTGACCAGGCCCATAGCTAATAAGGGACAAAACTGAGCACTAGGGAGGTATGATTAAATAGGCACCGAAAGACTCTGCCTAAAACCGTGTCCCTCATGGATCTGATATTCCCACCATTAGATTTGGGGGAAATAGAATCATAATAATAGTGATAAGAATGTAGTGAAGAATTATTGAATGCTTTTCATGTTCCAATCCCTCTACTAAATTCTCTACATCAATTATCTCAAATAATCTTCATAAAAAACTCTGTGAGGTAGATGCTAATGTCATCCCCAATTTACAGAGGTGGAAGTAAGGCAGAGAATGCTTAAATAATCTGCCCCAAACCACACAGCTAGTAAGTGATGGAGCCAGGATCTGAATACAGATCCTTAGTGCTAAGTTATTTTGTCAGAGATCCAAATTTAGATTCCTACAGGGTCTGAGGATGAAAGAATGAATTGGGCTCCATATGTTTCTCGAAATGTTTCTACCCATCTTTTATTTATCTATCAATAAGTCTATAGATACAGATACATGATACAGTTTTCTCTTAATAATGTTAATCCTTAACACTCTTATTTCTTAAACAGAACAAAGAAAAAGAGTACTAATAAATGGCAAATGACACTTTGCTTCAACGCTGGGGACAGAAAAAGGAGTGATGACAACAGTGGCAAGCTGAAGGAAGAGCATGCTTCATCAGAAGGGGCGGCCACGCTTCAACTCTTTGCTGCCAGGTGGGTATATGGAGCAGTAGTGCCCTATTTTCTGAGAGGAGTTTAAAAAAGAGTTTTACATGAAATCTTTTGGTTTTTAAAAAAATGGCAAAGAATTCTGCAGTTGGCCTGTAGTAGTCCATTCTCAACCTCCAAATAAAGTAAATTACCTCCGCCAGCAGTTCTATGTGACTGGAATTTAGGATTGAGGGTGAAACAGTAACAGGATGAGTCTGGAAGGGTGAAGAAGGGCCATGGTATGAGACACCTTGATGCACACCGGGAGAAGGTAAATCTCATTCTACAGGCTAGGGAAAGCAGACGCGCTATTGTTTTGTTTTAGAAGAGAAGGGGACTAGATCAGAAAGACATTTCTGAGAGCCATGAAGGACAAAATATGTGGGGAAGATAGCTGAGACCAAACTGATGACAACTACAATTGTAGCCCAAAACCAAAGTGGTGCCAATGAAAGCAAAAGAATGACTTAAAGCGACTAAGCAAAGACTTTCCTTAATGAATGATAGGTCTGCTTGTATCAAAAGCAGCTATATGCTGCTATATGCTGCTATATGCTATATACAGCTATATGCTGTCATATAGCTATAGCATCACTTCATAAAGAAAAGACCATCATCAAGAGGAAGGAAAAAGCAAACTTGAGAAAGAGAGCTATGGGAGAAATAAGAGGGGTTCCAGGACACAACTTGTTTGAGGCTGGGTTTGGCATGTAAAAAGGAAAGAAAATGTTCTTGGCTAGGGGGGAGACAGTCTGAAAACTGCCTAGGAAAACAAAAGAGAACAAGAAAAAAAGAACACATACAGGAGGAGGTCAGGTCTTTAAAAATTAAGAAGATATAGGAAACCAGCAGGGGAAAACGAATCAGGCAGTGAAAATCAGTGAAGGTCCCTAAAGTCCATATTTAATGAAAATGAGAGAAATCAGGCAAGG